AAAGAATGATGTGGGATTCGCATCGATGAAGACATGAAACAGGATATATATATATATATATATATATATATATATATATATATATATATATATAATTATGCAGTTATTTTCCCACTATCCTGGTCATTCTACGAAAACAAGGCTATGAGCACTGTCTTATTCATAGGCAAGCTTCTGTAGCATTGTACCTATCTTTGTTTGTAATTTTAGCACGGCCCAATTAAAGGAAGTCAACACTCAGAAAAAAGGGGAGATAGCGATCATAACAAAAAACTCGGGCAGGAGTCAGCTAAGTGCAGCTGGCTGAGATGATTTGATGATGATTTGATGAGATAAGTTAAGGTGATTTGCGTCTACGTCCGATCAGCAAATGAAATGCAGTCCCATGCAGTCCAGCACCTCTCCATTTTCGAAAACGGTCTGAAATTTCTAGGGGTTTCTCTGTGGAAAAATGTAATATTGATGTGTCTTCTTACATTTCAAACCACTACTGTGCACTTTGTCGAACAGGTATAAAGACTTAACGCAAAGCTTTACTCGACCCAACGGTCTTCAGTTAAAGTACTGCAACGATCGATGCCTAGCCAACGAACATCGTTGAGCGTCAAAACATGCCTAAACCTGCAAGCAGCCGATTCCAAGACTTCGGATGCATCATCTCAGCACCAACAGACCACGCTTCACGCTGCCTTGCGTGACCGGCTCGACTCACCCCACATCAGACCCGTCACCTTACCAACAGCAGTCGGACTACAAACTCTAGCGAGCCGGTAAACTGCGCGTGCGTAAAGTCTGGAAGAACGACAATAAGCTAAAAAGTCTCTGGCGAAATATTCTATCTCGAAGCGCAAGTGTTCGAGAGGGGGGGGCTAGGTGTCTGCACGTCTGGGTTTCAAGGAGTCTCAATTTACAGGTCTCAGTTTCAAGGGGTCTGCGCGCAAAAAAAGTGTTTTACGAAATCGAATGTTTACTGTGTGAAAAATTATTAGTCCTATCCGTTTGAGATATAATGAACACATGCGAGACGCTAAAACTAAAACAGAGAACATCCCTTCGGCGACCAGTTTTTGACAAAACATACTCAGGCTAAAATCCAGGGAGGCACGGACCCTGTACCCGTTTTAGAGCTCAAAGTCATCAACATAGCTCTGGACCATCCAGACAGGAAAATAAGTGAGTCCATTCTTATGAGAAGTCGGCGACCAGACCTTAACGTGCAGGGCTCATCATGGCCGATTATGCGAATGTGATAAGTGCCTTGATGTGTGATGCGTGCATTACTTAAAGTCGTTTACATGTAAGAATGACGCCTGATGCGTGACGCGCGACGCTTGTTTAATTGAAATCGTTTGCATGTTCACGTGATGCGTAATGCGTGATGTTTGTTTGCTTCAAATCGCTTGCGTGTAAGAATGATGCGTGATGCGTGATGTCTGTTAACTTGAATTTGTTTCATGCACACGTATTTTTTACGCGTTTTGCTTTCTTGTTGGATATATACCGCATCGTAATAATGACTGGCAATTGCTCCTTGCCCAATTTCCTGAATGCTGGCGACTTGAAAAAAACTGTGGCTTGCTGTTTGCAAAAATAAAACTGAAACATCGATCGGGATCGGCAAAAAATTTTGATTGTACTACTAAAATTTATTTCGATAAGGGCACGTAGCCGAAATATTAAGGCAACTATCTCTCCTTTCTCCTGGTTTTTCTACGAAAATGAGGCTAAGAGTGCTGTTCATGTACATAATTCCCTCGGTTTGGCCTGCGTCAGAGCTCGTTAAACATAAAAAGGTCATGGCAGCTGTAAAGGATTTGGCGGAGAGGCAGAGGTGCGGCGTTGCCGTAGTAATCCGGGGTTGTCCGCACCGTCCGGGGTTGTTGTAATCCGGGGTTGGCCGCACCGTTGGGACTAACCCGTCACAACCCCGGATTACTACACCACCGTCACCGTTACACCGTCGGGACTAACCCGTCTGGCTGCCAAACTGTGAGGCCGGCCGGGGGACTATGTCGTTTTAGCTGTCGGTGCTTGGAGGGTGATCCCAGCGGACGCGGCCGTGAGGCCAGCTTATGGGTAATGTCCACAGCCTGCCCCGGGCTGTAAGGTGATGGGAGGATATAGGAGGGGGCAGTGAATGGGGCTGATACTGGTGGTTGTGACTCACAACTCCCAAGTCCATGAGTTTATCCAACCTGCGTCGAGTTCTATTTCAGTCTTGCTGAATCTTATATGATGCTAAAATTATCGCATGACGAATGCACATTGGAGACCTGAATTACATTCACTTGTCGACCTGTCATGAAGCCCTCGCCAGCGTCTCACCACCGTAAAGCTTTAAGGGATCCGACCAGAAATTCCGCACCAACGATTGCAACTCACGGGCCGGCCGTGCCGCGGCGCCACAGTCGCGGCCGCAATAACCGCCGCTCCGCCGCTCTGCCCCCTCTCGCAGCAACCGGTCGGCCGGCCGCCGGCGGACCAGCCCGTGCCGCGCAGTGCAGCTGGACGGTCGCCGCGGCTCTGCGGGGGCAGAGCGGCGGAGCGGAGCGCCGCTGCCTTCGCCAACCCTTGAGAAAGCGGACCCCGGGCGGTCAGCGGCCGGATCTCGACTGGGGCTGCTCGGGCCAGCGTGCCGCGCGTGACGCCGCGCACCGGACGCCGCGAGCGGGTGAGAGTGGGCGTCAGCGTCGCAGCGGCGAGGGGGAGACGGTTCTGAGCCGTGGGTTTAGTGGATCGCGGGCAGTGCAGTGTCGGCGCTTCAAACGGTGCGAGGCAACGGGGCCACGTGCTGACTCAATACATTTGGATCTCTCCCTTGCGATGAAGGCCCAGAGCGGATGCAGACTGGCGGCCGGCGCGCTCCGCCTGCTGGTGGCGCTCTCCTGCGCAGGTGCCTCGCTCCAGAAAGATCCCGCCTCACTCCAGGGCGTGGTCAACTCCTCGTCCTCCGTCGGTAAGCCGCGTCCTCTTCCGGATAACCTGCCGATCCTGCGGTGGCGGCAGCGCGGCCTCGTCACCAAGTGCTGTCCAGAGGACGCGGCGCTGGTGCGGCGGCCGGGCCGGCCGACCCCCGCCTGCGAGCCTGTGCCGGTCGCGCACCGGTGGCAGCCGCGCCTACTGAACGGCCGCACGCACGTGCTCAGCCCGCCCGACGACCGCTCCGCCGTGGCAGAGGGGAACGTCACCTGCGAGTCGGACCAGTTTTGGGTGAACTCGGCGGAGGCTGGCGGCGAATTCGAGCTGCTCAACACGGGACATCTGTACCTGCGGCGCTCGGACGCGCTCATCGAGCCGGGCACGTTCTGCGCCGACCTCCTCCTCAGCCTCCCCGGCGCCTCGGGCCTGCTCTCCAACGCGACCGCGGACGGCTCCTCGGAAGCGAACGTGACCTCGGACTTGACCCTGGACCTGACCTCCGCGACCTCGAGCGTGGTGGCCCGCGTCTGTACCGTGTCGCTGCAGGATCGTGCATCGCTGCTCGATCCGGAAGACCTGCGCCCGGCCTGCCTCCGCGGCACATGCCTCCGCAAGTGTTGCCCGCGCGGGCTCAAGGCGCTCCGTGAGGGCCTCACGTGCGTGCCGCAGACGGGGCCGGCCCCCTGGCGACCAGCCTTCCACCACGCGCTGACGCAGCCGCTGAAGAGGACCGAGTATCACACCGTGCACGGCAACGCCCTTTGCCGCACGGCCAACAACAGCCTTGGGAAGGTGTTCGCCCTGGAGCCGAAGTACTACAGTGAGGACGCCTTCTTTCTGCAGGAAGATGGGCGGTTGTGGGTGCCTGACCAGCACGTCACCATCGAGCTGGCCGACTTCTGCGTGGACCAGGTCAGCCGCGGTGCGGTGCGGGGTCACGGTAAGGCCACGGCAGGTCACTCTGGGTTCTGCTGGAGCAGGGCGCGTGAACAGCGCTGTTGAGAACTGGGATGGTCCTAGGCCGCTCCCGTGGACCGGCTCTGGGTATATCCCCTCCCGGCTGGCGGGTTTATAGACTCTGAGCTGTCTTACCGGGCAGGCTCAAAGATTTGCGTAGTTACAGCTGCCTACGGGCTTCCGACAGCACGAGAGCGGACTCCACTTAAAGTTGACTCACGTAACGCATCACCACAGTACACACACCAAGCTTCCACGAAACTAAAAGCACCCTTTCCCTTCTCATCCTGCTCCCACCCATAACAGACTTATGTTGGCACTTCCTATGCGAAACATTGCTTGGCGGAGCGCTGATGTTGTTCCTGTCCACATGTACGGTCGAATGCTTTGCATCCGGATGTTTGCTACCATATTTGTCTGGTATATTTAGTGTCCGTCGGTGCGTTGTGCATCGTGGTGACCGTATGATAAATGGTAGAGCCCAGCAGCAGGCGAGCCCACCTCATGCCACGTCACGAATTTGCGACCTGCTTCACATCTTGGTCCCGAGTACTGGACTTCCAGCCTCTGTAAAGCGAACAGCGCACCCCATTGTGTATCAGTCCAGGTCATGCTGTTTTCACCGCGAACGCATCTCCAGCTGTGAGTAACACCTGGCCTGACCTGACATGACCTGAGCACACGACACCACGTCACCTGGCCGTCGCCTGGCAGTCACCCAACTTGACCTGACCGAAATTGTCCGGATCCAACGTGACACGAAGCGGCCCTGACCGGCCCGACCCACCCTGGCCTGATCTAGCCTGGCACGACCCGAACCGACCTGAGCTGACAATGGCCGACACAATCTTACCGGCCGGACCTGACCCTACCTGACCTGACCCTACCTGACCTGACCCGACCTGACCCACTCCCCAGGTGGAGTACCACCACGAGGGCCGTACGTTCGACGCCCACTTCGCCATCGTCTGCTTCGGCGATCCGGGCACCCAGATCAACGTGGGCAACTACGTGTACCGCTGTCTGCTGCTCGTGTCCACCCTGTTCCTCCTGGCGACCTTCGCCGTGTATTCGGCCGTGCCCGAGCTGCGCAACCTGCACGGTCGCTGCCTGATGTCTCACGTGGCAGCGCTCTTCACCGCCTACGTGTGTAACCTGGCCAGCCAGCTGCAGCCCGTCTACTCCAGCATGGCCGCCTGCCAGCTGACAGGTGGGTGTAGTCTGACGCTCGGAAGGGGGTGTAAGCGGTGTGGGGGAATCAAGAGGGTGTAAAGGGCATGGAAGATGCGAGAGAGAGAGAGAGAGAGAGAGAGAGAGAGAGAGAGAGAGAGAGAGAGAGAGAGAGAGGGGGGGGGGGGGAGAGGGAGAGAGAGAGAGGAGAGAGAAAGAGAGTGAGTGAAAGGAGAAAGAGAGAGCAGATCGTTTTAAAGACGCCGAGAGTGTTTCTTATTGGTTAGTCGTGGAATAAAAAACATGTTTTTAACATACATTAATTTTTAGCTTCTTGTGCATGCAAAAATACATAGTTTGTGATACTAATGCGCGACAAGAGCTTCTGCAACTTTTGATATGGTCTTGTATGACAACCAAGACACGTGACGAACACAGCGGAACAACAAAGAAATGCGAGCGAGACTGAGGGAAGTCGTTTGTTGCTGGGGTAGCCCGGTGCCATTTTCCGGGAGCATCTAGCGTAACTTAAATCGTCGAGCCGAACTCCAGGTAACTTCCAGGTAGATCCCGCACCCACAAGGACACCCCGTAGGACAGGTTGCCGACGGGTTGTGAGACGTGTTGTGGGACGGGTTGTGAAACGGGTTGTGAGACGCGTTGTGAGACGGGTTGTCATTATTTTTCGCGGCACGCCGTCGTAACATTCCCACAGGCAATTCCGTTATTCTGAGCGGTGACCAGCACCGATGGTGTGGGGCTGTAATGTTAGCCAACTCCCTGACGGCGTGCAAACCATCGGACCAGACGAAGCCGCAGGGTGAACTGTTGCATGTCAAGCACGCTGTGCAACTTGCCGACTGTGGCAGTTTGCATGTTTTCGTTTGGGGCGTGGATCGCACAACGTCAGAGTTGTCACGCACATACATGTGACAGAAAAGGCCAGCGACGTTCAAGGTTGAGACCAGAGCACCATAGCTATGAGACACGCAATGCATCACGGGAGTGCTAGCTCTAACATGTTTATTTTTGCTCGGAACGTTCGGTCTCTGGGCCTCATAAAAGTGGTCTTTGGGCCTTATATACGGCAGAAACAACGTTCTATTTCACTCGACTGTTGAATTAATGGCTCACAGGTGTCTGCTGGTGGACTGCAGATTATTAATGTGCGAGTTTCGGCTTTTGAACTTCACCAATGCAGCTGCTGTGCCGTGCTGCGGATTTAGTTTGGCAAAGCGCTGCGTTTCTGGTCATAAGGTTGTGCCAAACCCTCCCAGGGACAAGTCCACCTCATTGTCCTCAAACTATCCGCCTTGTTAACTATTTATTTCTAGCGACAGTTACCCCACTTCATCACGGTCTTCGTTGCATTGAACCGGCTTGAGCTAGATTGTCACATCTTAATTGATACGCCCCGCTCGAACTTGCCGATTGAGTGGGTCCGGAGCTCTGGGCAGGGGCGTTAACAAACATCGGCAACTAGATGAAGCGCGACGTGCCACCTTCGGAAATGGATCACGCGCCCGGAATTAGCTGGAGACCAGAGTGAGACGTTTCGGCTGTTGGTCACTATGACGGCCGGGTCTGTGAAGATGGTCTGCGCGCCCGGCGGATGTCCGTCGCTAGCAATACGCGACCTTACGTCCCACGGTCAGTAGTTCACGCCACATCCGACAATCGCGCAAAAACAGGCGCACAGAGCGATGTTAGTAGAGCGTTTTTTACTCGTTGTCTCCAGTGAAGCGCCCGCGTCATGGCTGACGCATAGTGGCCGCGTTGGACCCTCATTCACGTTCCACCGAAATGATGTTGCCCGTTCAGACGAAGCGCACGGCGCAACCGACATTCCATGGACGTCTCTTTTGTTGACGCCATTTCAATGATTAGGTACCGCGTGACAGGCTCCCGGGTCTGGCGACGCCACGATATGTGAAACACAGGCTGGCATTCTCTGCGACACAGTTGGCTGGCACACAGGCTGGCACTCTTTGACACAGTTGGCTGGCACACAGGCTGGCACTCTTTGACACAGTTGGCTGGCACACAGGCTGGCACTCTCTGTGACACAGTTGGCTGGCACACAGGCTGGCACTCTGTGTGACAAAGTTGGCTGGCACACAGGCTGGCACTCTCTGTGACACAGTTGGCTGGCACACAGGCTGACACTCTCTGTGACACAGTTGGCTGGCACACAGGCTGACACTCTCTGTGACACAGTTGACTGCCACAGGCTGGCACTCTCTGTGACACAGTTGGCTGGCACACAGGCTGGCACTCTGTGTGGCACAGTTGGCTGACATACAGGCTGTCACTCGTCTGCTGCACGCCATATCAGTTCATGAACCAGCTGATCATGACGTGTTGTTTGTGGATTATTCAGAGGTAGCCTCGCATGTCCTCACGCCATGATAACGGTGGACCAGTGAGACATGACTTTTGAGCAATATTGCAAGCGGAGAATTTATCCGCATTGCTTAAAAACTCCGAACCATTCGGTTTAGCACATAGGGATATTAGTTAACATTGGTTTATCACGTAGTCTACTAATCCCTGCTGTTATTGATATGGCCCCGACCCTCAACGCATAATAGACGGGTGAGACTACTGATCTGGAAAAAATCAATGACGTCCCCGCGCATGACCACGAGAGCCAAAAAAAAAATGGAACCCGATCCATCAGGATCTGAATTATTCAGCATAGCGATAGCAATAACACAATGGTGCATAATTTCAGAGTCCAATTATATTACTAATCCATGTGCAAATAAGTACTGCTGCATGTGTGTCATATAATGCATACACTCGTTGCATGACTTTTCTGTCACGCACAATAGTTAGGATGGCCTTGTTTAACGATTAATGCTTTGATTGTCTTGTGAAAATGGCAGACTGCAATTTTTTAGTCGCTGTATATGTACAGTCACGACCACGTAAAACGCCGTTCGGAGCAAGCCTCAACTGAGAGGCAGTCAGTTGGTCCAATTTCCTGAAAACATCCCGTACTTGATCCAACTTAATACAATGTTCATTACGCGGCCGGCGAAATCGAACATTTCACAATCGTGCAATGGTGGTGTCACATACCAGCCTAGCAGCAGCCTGGCCTTACGTTCCACAGCACGGACGCCCTTCACCATTGGTGTATCGCCGGCCGTAAATCCGGGCACAGCTGACGTGACCAGCGCTGTGCAGCGCTGTGTTATTCGCACGCAGCCCCCTGTCCCCGATATGCCGCCCAGGCGGGGCGCTCTTAGCACGTAACCGGCCGCTGTCTGAGGCGCCATCAGGCTCCGGTCTGTTGTCCGGATCAAACTACACCTGGCGTCGTATGACGAGCTGGAGTTCGTGTTAAGCCCTGGTATCTTTGCGATCTTTACTAAGCGATCGTGATGGATCAGCGTGCGTCTATATCATCACCGCAGTTGCGTGCCTCGGGGAATCATTTAATGGTGGTGTGCATTTGCTGGCGCTTCCTGTTCTCCGCGTGTGTAGCAATGCCTCGTCAACCCGGCTAGTAGCGCAACGTTTCATTATCTCTCTCAAGCGCGTATTTGCGTCTTGCGCCTTGAAGACCTGCATCACGAGGTGAACGCAAGAAGCAGAAAATAATTCGGAAAGTCATGTGGCGTTCGGGGATGCTGTACCGCGGATGTAAAAAACGCATGACGTATTCGTAAGATACACTGCGTCAATACAGACGATAAGTTATGTGTGATAAAACCGAAAGACTGAACTTCAAGCGTCCATTAGAAAAAGGTGGATCTAAATAGGCTCATGTTACAAATCTTACAAATGTTGCATGTTATAAATGCCACAAACTAGTCTTGTAGTCAATTCTGGTTTGACTGTCATGTGCGCTTTAAGTGTAATGAATGCTGGATTGAACCAATCGAAAGGCAGATTGGCATGAAATTTCCGGTCTCATTGAACGCCAGGGTACGCGAGAACTGGCCAATGCGTTCGGCGACGCGTTAGTCATTCAGTAAATGCCATCCAGGCTGTGCAGCCAATGAAGCCCACCGGATGCGAATAAAGGGCAAGACTGTTTGATCCGAGCCAAAGCCGCGCTTGCCCGGCCGTAATTCCTGGCCATGAGGGATGCAAATCGAGATCAGGCCTCTTCGGCAAATGTTACACTATCACTACACTGTGTTACACTATGTAACACTATGTATTACACTGTTACACTATGTTACACTATCCAGCATTCAAGGAAACGAACCATCGATTTGTTACTGCAACCAGATGAAAGGCGTCGAGCTTGACTTCGCTATTTTCTGAGACGAATTACGCCAGGCCTTGCCTGTTCAGGCCTTCTCACCGGTACCAGATGGAACGCATGCCCACTTAATATTTGAAGAAAGGTCTTTGCATACGCGTCCCTTGGGCATTTGCCAACTTCAGCATCGCCCTACTGCTGCTCTAAACTCTGCTCACACCACCATCTCTGGCGACGCATCGCCATGTCGGCCTATGATGCATTTGGCCTAATTTGGCCTAGTTTGGCAATTTGACCCACCATGGCGATGGCGTGGCTGTCTCGGCCGCTCAGTCTGCTGGCGTCCCTGCGCGGCGTGCAGGTGGCCGCCGGAGGGCGCTGGCTGGCGTGCCGTAGACCAGTCATCATTCATCACCGGGACTGGGGCGTCGGTCGGCGCATGACCCCGACAGCGAGTAATCTGCGGTGTCAGCGCTGGCTGCTACCGCGGCACCAGTGCAGTGATGTCGGTGGAATCATCAATGCTCGAAGGCCCTTGTTCCGTACAAATTTGCCTTTACACGGTTTCCTTTTTTTGTGAAATGTCGGCTATGCTGTCCTGTCTCTGAGCTTCTGTTTTTTTTTCTCAATGATTCGGTTCCCTGTCGAGTTTCCCTTTAGATTTATGTTTTGTTTAGTTAACCGTCCCTGCGACCCCGGCCCTACGGCCAGCCCGGAAACTGCGCCACATGTGTCGTGTTCTGCGCAGGGCCGCGCCGCCCGGTAACCGGGCAGTCGTCTCGCGAGCGCCGCCAGGGAGAGGAAGCGTATGTCCTCTTCCTGGCCCGATACCCAAACCTCAAAATACAGCATCAGCCGACGGATGCGTATTGACGAACGATCGAACGATACCGAACAGCCCTCTTGATTGATATCTTTCTGAGGATTTTGTTATATTGGTGGGTGGTGTTGTGGTGGGTGGTGGTGGGGGGGGGGGGGGGGGGTGCACACACTTCTATTAATGTTTTGAGGTGTGCTCAATATACTATCGAGGGAACGCCGCCTAAATGAAGAATGTTAGCGCGAAAATTAGGCCTGGCTGCATCCTTCACAAAATCCGTCTTAAGCTACCGTCTCCATGAGGCAGGACTGAAAGCGTGTTTAATACTTCCGTTCTACGGCTGATGGTTTGGAGAGATCATGTAGCTCACTCCTGAACCGTTCCTCTCACCCCGGATCTCTCCGTGGTTTTCCCTTCCGTGAGCGTGTCTTTCCGGAAAAGGCTTGGAGATAGGACTGTGTTGCATGCGAAGTTATAATAGCTGGGGTTGGGAAGTGTGGGCTGCTAGATATATTTGTTCACTGTTCGACATTTCACATTATACCTGAACGCCGTGCTTTGTTTTATTTAATTTTGTAGTGTCGTGAACAACGCTTGATCTCCCGTTTCCCCACCTTTCCCCCACGTGGCTTCCAACAAAACCGGTCGGTCGCACGAGCCTCCTAGTCCGGTTACTGAGGCCGATCCTGGAGCTCCCAGACCGCTGCGGCTGATGTTCTGTGTAAAACCTCATCGACTCAGTCTTGTCTATGATCTTTCCGAAGTTCCAAAGTCAGGAAAGCAAAATCCATTGGTTACTAACACTCTTATACGACGCAACTTTTGATTTGGTTGATACTCTTCTAAGACGCAACTTCTTATGTGTGTAGCGTCCTTCTCATTTGTGTCATAGTGTCTGTGCCGCCAAATGTTGTTTCTGCGCGTGGCTTTGTCTATGCCTGTGTCTACGACACGGTTTGCAGCGTTCTCAACATTTTTTAAAAAGAGCGAAGCATTGTCAAAACTTTTAGACATGGTCAGATCAGCAGCAGATTGGCTTCTTATCTTATCATACGGGTCCTATGACAAGAACATTTGGAGATGACGTAAAAATTTCAGCGGCCAGCCAAGAGCCTAGACTGCTGAATGAGACGTCACTGTCACCGCAAGGGGATTCCGATGGCTAGGAACGGTGCTACCAGCCCATTGTTGTATGATAGGCAACAGCGGTATTTTATACTGATGGTGAGCCTTTGCAATCGAAGCAGACAGGGAAAACATTGGGATTGGCGCAAATGGCCTGTGTACCACACATGCTGCTACATACAAATGTATTCCATTCAAAGTAAGCGCGGTTACGTTGGTAAGATTATTCTGTGCATCCAAAAGCTTCCCCTGAAGCAGCCTTGCCCTGCTTCTGCGCCGTGCTTCAATATTAACCGTCACCAAAACGTCAAGTGACACGTGTTCACCAACAAAGACGTCTCGTTCGAAGGTCACCTCCAGTTTCATCCGAGTCACGGTGTGTCGTCGCCGCGCGCAGTGACCCGGAACTAACGTCTGCTCACCGCGTTAACTTTGTCTCCGCCAGATCCCCCACCCCCCGAGTTCCCCTTGAATGACCTCCCTGATTGGGGCGTCTAGTGTCTAATCCTGCAGGCTCACCCACTCACGACAAAGTATAACCGCGGCGGAAAGTGCAGGCCTCCAGTGAAACGAACCGGCGTGGGGCGAGGCTCAAGCGGGCGTCTTTGGCGGACTGCTCGCTCGGTTTTTCCAGGCTCTCTCGTGGCGGCCGGAGATGCGGTGTCTAAACTGCAAAAATTTCGTGGGGTCGTCAGCCGGGTTTTTGAGGCGTCATTCGCAGGCGTGACCACGACAGCACGGGCCACGACCATGGGTCTTTCCAGGATTTGACGCCGGAGAGGCGGGCTGCTTTGGGAGTCCGAACTGGTGCTTGGTGGGACCGATGGTCCGGGGGGGGGGGGGGGGCGGGGGTTGGAGCAGTCGGATGCGGGCTGATACGGCTCAACTGGGAGCGCTTCGCCTGGCGGTCATGTACCGAGTGGCCGACTGGGTTCAAATCTGGATCTCGTCCAAAGTTTTCATTGACCCCCGCTGCATTCGACACGCGAGAACGCGACGTTAAGTGACCTGAGGTGTTTATTGCGACGTTAAACCTCAAATGTACTGAACGAGAGCAGTGCTGCTGGTGTCTGGGAAGATCTTTCTCACAGATTTAGCTGAGCATCAGGGAAGAGAAAAGCCAGAGGATGAACTCATCCCCAAGGCTGCAGCCCTGTTCCATGCGTAGACAAGCGATTGTTTTTGTGTTGCTTTTTATATGGAAAGAAGTTGCAACGCACGTTAGATGTAATTGCAGGGAGCCGACAATCTAGCTTAATTTGCTGGTTTAAAGGATGGATGGGACAGAACATCTTCCCGTCTGGTCCCTGCAGTACAGCCCATGGCCGTGTGAAGTGGGAACCCATTGGAAGTTAGGAAGCACTCGAGGATACAGACAACCAAATACAACGGCAGGCTACGTGCCCAAGTGCAACGACCACCCCTCAATATCTGGATTTTCTCAACAGGAGATACATGCTTAATTGTTAGTGAAATCGTCTCGCGTCGTGGCTTCCTAGTGCAAGCTAAGCCACCCTCAACGTGTTTATTCATGGTTTACCCGTGACGTCATCCCGGCTCCAAAAGGGCCGGGACGATCGTGTCATGTGCAAGCGAAAGCTCACGACGACATTCTGAGCGACTATTTAGTGCTACTTGATACCATCGGCCTTCCTAGCAGATGATGTTTCAGATGTCGAGATGGGCTTCGCCAGCATTAATTCCGCAATCAATTTCGCATTGACGTAGCCGGATACATGAATTAATGCAGATGCCGGCGATATATTCCATCGATATTCGCGGCGATACCAGCCATCAGGCAGTCAGCTGTTCCGCGTCGAGCGACACTGTGTGGTGAATGCGGTGGTTTGGTGGTTGGTGATTTGGTTTTTAAGGGCGCGTCGGCATCGGGGCCATTTTGCGTGTGATGAACGTGTATGTCACACATATGTACGTGTATGTATGTGCGTTGACAGAATCCCTTGTGTCTTATCGCTTAGCCAACTAAACAAACTGAGAACACACTTGATGCAACACGTCTGTCGTCAAATCCTACGTGAGGACCCTTTGGTCCTGACGTAATTCCACGTCAAACCCGTGGCAATCGTATGTGGGGGTCGTTTGTGGTCGCGCGTGGTCCGTGTCGGTTGAGTTTGAGTCATACGCGATCACATGCGGTCACATGGTGCGGCGTGTGGGTCGTTCGCGGCCACGCGTGGTCCGTTTCGGTCGAGTGTGTGAATCTTTCTTGGTCACGTGCTGCCCATGTCATGCTCAGTCGCGGCCCGTGACTCACGGGACTTCAGTGACGCCAGCCGGTCCTTATATTGCAGCCCTGGTCATGTACTTCTCCTTCCTGGCCGCCTGCTTCTGGATGAACGTCATGAGCTTCGACATTTGGTTGACATTCAGGTGGGTTCTGAGCTCTCCCGAAGGCAGCGACACAGTCAGGCTTTGTCGTGGACTTGCGGCATTTCTTCGCGACGCCCTTGTCTAGAAAAAAACGATGTGTGCGACCCACCATTCAAGGTCATGTCGTAGTTAGCTCATAAGTGGTGGCGACTGGCGTGGCTACGATATCACATAGTCGTCATAATGACAGCCAGAAAGGAGCTGGCTGCCAAGAGGCAAACAGGAACGAAGATACGTCGGTTGACCGCGGTGCCATATTGATTGAGGGGGATAATGCGACGCAATAATCGTCTTAATTAATGTCATTACCAAAGGTCGTGTTCGTGAATAATATGCCTCCGGTAAGACATGTGCATATTGCTGGGTTTTTCATATATGATGCTAGGTTTACTGGCGTCCGTAACAATTTGTTCTTGGTAAAACCGTGAAACCGTGAAGGCGTTATATGCCATGTTTCCCTATTTTATCATACGGTGGTTTCTGCTACTTCTTGGTGGAACAACTCATCAAAGGAGCCTCAAACGTGGCCTGTTTACATTCTTACGGGCACTAGGCCATGCAATGACACAAGTCTTACTTGTTTGTTTCGAAACCACGGTCATGTATAGCTCATTAGAAATGCATGGTTCTACCAAACTATATTATGATGACCTTAAAATAATTAGAAAGGTGATTGCCGTTAAGAAATATTCCTTTCGAATGAATTTTCGATCACGGACCGCAAGCACGGTGGCATCCATAAAACACTAGATGGCGGCTATTGTTTGCAGCGTTTTTTTTTTCTTAGCACACAAGTGATGAAAAGAAATTTCCTACACTTTGACCGAACAAATGACAGGAAATTACAAGTGATAAAATGCACTAGCCTTGAAAGATGAAGACTACGTGATTCTCTAGGATTTATATATTTCTATTTAGTGGGGTTTCAGTTTACGGGTGCGAAATAATTCACATATTTTGCAAAGGGTCTGGTCTTTTTTGTTTTGCTTGTTTGCAAAATCTTAGGATGTGAACATCAGAGGGGACGTTAATAACACCAACAAGATCAGGATCATCGACTCCATCAGCTAGAGCAACGAAACAAACATAAATCAAATGCGTTCAACCTGGATAGCCATCTTTCTTCACCTTGAGTGGTTGAAGCTTTGCGTGTGAAGATGAAATCAGATGTAAAAAAGTCTAACAGTTATGTTGGTATAGCATGGCAAGACCACAATACTTTGAAAACAATCCAGTTTGGTCCGTTTTCTCGCAACCTGCACGTCCGTGCGGTAAGCGAGCCTGTGACGCATACATGTCGGGTTTTAAAGATAAGTATCTGACGTCTGGCTCAGTGTAGTATGACGTGTTTGATGTGAGGACGAGTGAAAAGTGTATCGTATGTTGGTGAATGAATAGGACCCATTCGACTACGGCCTAACGGTTACGGCCTAACGAGCCCTAGACAAAAAAGAACAAAACTCCTGGAACCTCCATTGGTGATCGTTTTCTTTCTGCACACCAAAGCTATGAGATTCAGTATGATGAGAAGCCCTTGGCTGCTAAGATTTTGTAAAAAAGTTCAAGGGCCACTCCCATTACAAGATATGCAAATTAATCCACTTACACAAAATGAACTCCCTACTAAATAAAAGCGTTTAATCCCGAAGAGTCGTGTGGTCTTCATCTGTGCAAAGCTAGTGTATTTCATTGCCTGTGATTTCTTGTAATTTGTTCGGCCAAAGTTTGGGAAATATATGGCATTTCATCACATGGATTCTGAAGAGAAATCTTGTCAGCACTGGCTAGAACAGCATGCACTGGCAGACACTGGTGTATGTTTTATATCTGTACATCTCGAATCTGTGGGCGAGGTCCGTAACCGAAAACTCATTTAAAACACGTTTCTCTTAACGACTATCATGTATCTAACTATTACAACGGGGCCATCTTGATTCGATTGAATACCTAGCCTGCAGGACATTTCACAACCCCTGTAACACCCCAAAGTATATTATGCCAGGATGCGGGCAGCTGGCGCAAATCGCGTCTTACGGAATGTTGTGCGCGAGAAATGCCGGAACGCTTTCAAAGCAAGACATCCGTGGGCCCGGGTCCCATCAGCCTGTATATTTAAACACCAGCTTTAGCAGACTACTGCTTGCATGCTTGCTGTACTTGCATCGTCGGATACGAGACAGGAATCGATGACCACACACGTATTGTTACGGACTTGTTAAATGTAACGTAAACAGACTCCATCCAAGACTCAGCTAATCAACTGTTTTCCTATTGCGTCACATTCAGCAGCTACTTGATTAGATGAAGCAGCCACGTGACCATGGCTAGCCTGTCACTGATCCGACTGCATCCATCGCATCCCTCGCGAACCCCTGAAGTCGTCCAAACCCGCGCGACATGCGGACGGGTTGGGCAGCCGGTGCCACGCCGCCGGCTATCTCTGCGGTCAGCTGTTTCCGCCGCGTTTGCAGCCGAAATCTACAGAAGCCAGCCGCCGGAGAGATGTGAAGACCTGCGTCTTTAACTCCCGCCACGGTCGTTTGACCCACGTCAGGGGCGCCCCCAGGCAACAAGGTTTGGAGGATGGGGTGGGACGCCACCGCACGGGTCATTAAGTGCGAGCGGCGTCCTTGTCAGCCAGTGGCCCTAGGGAACTCCGGATAAGGGTCGGCTTGTGCCCTCCAATGCCCATTCTGGGTTTGCCCCTCGTTACTGCACCGACAGGACAGCAGGAGGGTTGCCGGATTTCCCTATAGAGCTAATTGCGGCAGACACTGCGCGCGTGCCGGAACAAAAAGCAAGAAATGGACTCTGCCGCGACTCACGTGTTCGCCGCACCGCATCCACCGCAGAACGATCCGCACTCCCGTCCGCTCATTGGTCTGCACGTGTGTGCGCGGGACGCCATTGGCCGGCGCTCGGAACACTGCCCAAGAATCGTGGCTGCCAGCATGCATGGCGAACCGCCCTCAGCTGTCCCGACGCGTCGCCCCAGGCTACTGACGCTCGCCGCCTCAACAGAAAACAATGGGGTGCGACGGCCCCAGTCCGCGGCCGCCGGCACTGCTCGCGTGATAACGGTGACCCTGCGGCGGCCACCGATCCTCCCTCCCCCCTCCCCCCTCCCCCCCCCCCACACACAAACGCGTCAATACTGGCGCGGGAGGTCATCTCCGGTCGCGTCACTTCTACACGTTGCTCGCCTGATATTTGCCAGATGGATTATTGCGATGCCGCCTGTCCTTAGTGGAAGCTGATGTCGGTATTTGTAGATAGGATCAAGGAGATATTTCATGGAAGGAGGCATGCAAGGGACGTACATGCAAAAACACAATCCCCACCCGCACGCAAGCGGACTTGTGTACTCGTTGTGTGCTGTCTTTACCACTCTAGGCTTGTACCATTACGTTGAAAACAAACGAAAGCCCGAGTTGCCTAAAGTGTCCTAAGTTGCCTAAGTTGCTACCTTTTTATACCAAACACTCTAAAACGCTTGTACATTCTGTACACGTGATCGTCGTCGCAATTTGTGCGGCCAGATAGCTCGACTCGGGGAGATTTTTTTCGATTTATTTCATTTCATTTTTATTTCGGAGATTTGTTTTATTAAGCTCCCACGTGGCACGAAGGATTACACCTCAAATGTCCGTCACGCACGGCCCGCGACAAATATGCCCCAATTCTGCAGCATCTCGAAGGTCATCTGAACAGACATTGGTAAGTCTGACCTTGAGAATTACATGTCGAAGGTCATCTGAACAGACGATGGTTAGTCTGACCTTGAGAATTACATTAGTGAGCGAAGGTGCCCAGCTTCATTTAGCTTTGACACCAGTCCAATTTTGATCATTTAACCACGCAGCTGTTTCGCCCACGCGCCCGGCGGGCAGTGAGATGAGAAGAAATGGCGGCCTGTAATCGCGATATGCCATTTAGTAATGAGTGGACCGAGCCAAAGTCCACCACTTTCCACCTATGATGCGCGAAAGAGAGGCCCTTTCCGTCTTCAACGGTGTTCCGAGACGATTGCGTAAGAATGCTGGAACGTTCGCTTACTTTAATAGCAGCCTCTACTGGAGCGCTCGCCCTCCACTCCCGCTAAGGGCTGTCACGGACGAGCAACTGGGACATCGCCATGGAAAGGCCACGGGACTAACTAGAATCGCGTGTCGCAAATGCTGCACTTAGCGAATAGGCCTTTGCAGGTGAACGCTCTCTCAAGATAAAGTGATACGGCTTAATCCCGCCATGCTAACCAGCCTTGATGAATCAGCTGATAAAACTGGGTCCCATTCGCCTCGTGGTTGTAACTGAATAATGCACCAATGGTTGCGTATCGTCCCACGCACGTCGCAGTGAGCAGAAATAAAGCTCCAGTTTCGCTAGTGTGATTGGATTCAGGTGGACCTCAGGGGCTCGGCTGAGGCAGCTCAACATCGAATGGATTCCCAATGGTCAGACTCTCCGCATTGGCTGCATTTGTATATCGGATTACGCCGACGTCTTGATCGCAGCTAAGCATTTCAAGATCCGAAGTTTGCGTGCCTCCAGCTTAAAATGTCCTGTTCGTTCTTATCTATACCTCGTACCCTCCCCTTTGTCCTTTCTACTCCCTCCCTCGCCGCCTCCCCGCCTCGGTGCCTTCGTGTCTCCGGTCGGAATGCGTCGTTGCGTTCTATTTCCCCTTGCCCTCCATTACTCATCTTGCCCCCTACTTCCATCTTTTCCATCCATCTCGCCCCACCTCTTCATGTCCCTCCTCTCCTTCCTCACCCCTCTCTCCCTCGCCCTCTCCTCCCTGCCCTCGCGTTCTCTCCCTGATGCCGCTCGCTGACGCCGGGCGGTGTCACGGTGACTAGGAAGGCGCTGGCCCGCAGACCCCGCGTGACATCGGAATGATCCGGGCGCCTGAGACGGCGGGCCTCCGACAGCGGCGTCATTACGCCGGCCCGCGCCGGGCCGACGAGCTCGACGCGTCGGTATTTGTCTTGGTTCGACGCTAGCTGTCGCCCCGGAGTCATTCGTCTGACCCGCCGGTAGCGACGCCGCTCGGAGTGACCGCGTGGGGTGTTTTGAGCCGCTAGGTTTGCTTTATGGAGCTGCGAGTAGTACAGAGTGTGGGTATCGATCTGATTAGCCGATTCTGATCGAAACCTATCTGCACTTTGGCTGGATCGGAACTGAGGCTCAGTTGAGTGCCGACCATGCAACGAAAAAGGAGCGAAATGCTCACCAAGAATACATTCAAAATTGGTGCTTGCTTCAATGACGCAGTTAGCTGAACAGTCTCCGGTCATGCGTAGTTTCTTACACCCTGCAATTTGTCGGAATTTGGTCGGCAAATTTCCAAACCTGTCGTCGCTACTGGTTGGAGCGCGTCAGAGGCCTTATCCCTAGGATTGTCCCAATTTGTGTGTGATCATTGGACAAGATCAAGTATAAGCTTAATTTGGGGATCACGCGTCCCTGACCGGCCCTCCAGCTTTTTCGTCTAAGCCCTGCTTGAAGCTTCTGCAGCCATTCTGCTGAGCAGACTTTGCTTAATCAGCATGATCGTTTACAGTAATGTGCGATTATCGGGCTTTTTGCGATTATCGTGCTTATACCTTTCTAAACCCAATTGCACACCATTGCCAATCATTGCTAATTGCCGCTGAGATAAATCGCCTGCGTCATTGGGAGCATTTCTGTTTATTGGTGCGCTGTAGTTGTCATTCTACTCTTTTTGGCAACATCTTATCGGTAGCGTTTATCTTTGGTGGTATTTCTCCTCTCATATGTAACGTCTGTGTCCCTCAATGGCGATCGCCCGTCTGTCAGTACCAGTGGTGATTTATATGTACTCATTTGCCATCTCTACCTCCCACCTTGTCCTTTTTCCTCCCAGTGACAGCTTTCATTTTACGCGCGCTCTCCCTCCCATGGGTACCCTATCTCTTCTCATCGGTAACCTCTGTTCTCCAAATTATTAACTGCCACTAGCGCCAATGGCCCCCCCCCAGATGAGAGTAGCGCTAGAGATGAGAGAGATCTATCAGAGATGCGAGGAGCAGCTGAGATCGTCAGCTAGAGAGAGAGATCGCAGGAGAGCGATAGCGAGCGAGAGAGAGAGAGAGCAGATCGAGAAGAGCTAGCTATCCTCTCTCTCTCCTCTCTCTCTCTCTCCTCTCTATCTCTATACTCTCCTCTCTCTCTCTCCTCTCTCCTCTCTCCTCTCTCTCTCTCTCTCTCTCTCTCTCTCTCTCTCTCTCTCTCCTCCTATGGCATATTCACTGCATATTCATATGGCATGGCATGGCATATGGCATTCTATGGCATATCCTCCTCATGATGCATCGTATCATGAGGCTGGGCGGCCACCTTCGCTGCGTCTCCTGGATTAAGCTGGGAAGTTTGCACGTCACCGACCTCCGGAATTCCTCCTCTCCCACGCTCTCCGCCGTCGCAACCTTCCCCCTCTCACCGGTCGCTCTCCGCTCGCAGCCGCATCCGGTCGGCGACGCCAAACAAGTCCAAGACGCGCCGCTTCATCAAGTACTCGGCGTACTGCTGGGGCTGCTCGCTGGCGCTGACGTTGATCACGATCATGATGCAGTTCGCGCCCGACGACGTCGTGCCGCCCGAGAACTTCATCCGACCCGGGCTCGGCGAGAAGAGCTGCTGGTTCCCAGGTCAGGTCACGACGGGTAACCGGGAGGCGTGGGCGGCACGAGCGGTCACTGGGGGTGGCAAGGTACGGTCATTGGGAGGGCAAGGTGTGGTCACTGTAAGGTCGCGGTTGAGGGCCTCGCAGGTCAGAGCGTGGTCACTGAAGGTCAGGTGGGGTTACTGCGAGGTCAGGTAGGGTCACTGCGAGATCTCTGACGGCTAACCGTGGCGTCACTGGAAAGCAGTCGCGGAAAGGAAAGATGCGCCGTGTGTTGGTAAGTCGTTTAGCTTTGTCTGCCTGCCTTGCTGAAGGGGTCGGAAGAAGTTTTGAGTTCTGCAGCGGCTCCTTTGAGACTTGGCCCCACAGAAATAACTATGTCAGGTTTGTGTGCTCAGCCCAGCATACTGCGGTGTGGTGGGTTAAGACGATCTCAGACCGGACAGCATCTAATGGTAAATGCCCACCAGTTCGAACACTCACCTCGAGTTCGTGGCTTTGACAACGTGGTAGCACGTTTGAGACTCAGGGTTGTTTTGACCTCCTTCTGCAGTCTTCCCGCCGTCGATGACACTCCAGCATCGAGCCTTGCTTCATTCTGAGGGTCGTAACGGGGCTGTGTAGTTACCACGAGCAGTGGCGACATAATATTTCTACCAGGACATAATAGACCGGAGCACTAAACAGCAGCACGTTGTGCATGCCTGTGTGTATTGGACGTTTGGTAGGTCCGTGCGCGCGTGTGGACGTTTTGGGCGCGCGTCTGCTCGCGCCGAGTGTCTATGTCTATAGATAGACACACTGCACATAGACACACTGCGTGTGTCTATACGCCGAGGAGAAAGTTTTCTGACTCCAAAATCCCGCAACGCCAGTTTCGGGGTCCCTGCCAGTGCCGCTTGGCGTATTGTATCCCGGATTGTTTTCTCACAGTATTTAAGCCGCTTTAATTTACCATTTGGTTAAAACAAACTTGTATTTCATGCTTTGCTCTTCCTTCTTCTGTATGCGTTTTAAACAAGGACCGAGATCAATGTAAGGAGATTCTTCGTCAGGCTGGGGTGTTGTGAAGCGGATTGCGAGTGTGTCCTGGTCCCCTCTAACCACATGCTAGCACGCGCTCCTGGCCTCACCCCTGATTCACCTCCGTTGTAGGCCAGTCCAAGCCACAAACCAGCTGTGTTGTATCGGTAGGTGGTCACGCGTAAGCGCACGAGCGACAGTAACAGGGTCGTGCTGCGAAACATTTGTTTGTGCGATGCCACCCAGCCGCAGGAGAATCTTTGTATGGTTGATAAATCAGGACAATCTAAACATGCGAGTTGGCATGGCATTTACAGGACAGCTGGAAACCTGCGCAGATCGTTCAAATGATCTCGTGCACTATCTCATGCTTTAACTCTCTTCCTATGCTGATTTGCCTTTGCCTGCACGCATTGTGCAAGTGACTGTTGTCTGTTCAGGCTTTGCGATCCTGAAAGACGCGGTCCATGTTGTTGATGGCTCGGAAGTCACCCTTCTTGCTTCAAAGCTTCGTGGAAAGTCGGACGGTTAAACGTTGTCGTACTTTGTCGACGTAAAAGTGCCGTGCCCCTCTCAACTGGCTCTCTAACAGGATGTGCATGTAACACCCACATGGATTTACGAGCGCACACTCTAAGCCAGTTTCCGGTAATCCCTGCCTCACGTACTAGCGTGAAGAGCGTCAGGCCCAGCAGCAGCGCCGCGCCTCTTGAGACGACCCGTCTAAGCCCGCGCCGCCGCGGCTTCGCTGCAACCGAGGCGTTCACTCGGCGCTACACCGACAGAGCCGCGTCGGGCCGGCTGTGCGCGGCCGGCCGACGGCGCAGTACGGCGGCCCGTTTCTCTGAAGCGGTTGCCAGCGTGCGGACGTCGTCCGAGCCGCCTCGGTCGCGCAGATCTGATGAGCTGTCGGGCGCGATGGGTGCCCAGCTGGCCGTGAAAGCCTGAGCGGCGCCGCCGGCGATACCCGAGGACGGACTGCTGTAGTGTAATTGGGCGTGGCTGCTGCGAATCCAGCATGACGCGGGCTGTCCATATTTGGGTGGGCTTTCGGCGCCGCCGATTGATTGGTTGTGAACCGACGCGGAATTTTGGTGTGCCGTAACTAATGGCTTCCTGAAGATGTTCGCTTGGTTAGTGCCGCAGTTTAAGCGCGGACAAAAAAGGAACGTTGCGTTCGATGCTCCCAACACAGGTGTAACCTCTTGAGCGTTATCGTTTGATTTTTCCGTTTTCTCCGTCCGCCCGCACAACCCTGTGACAATTCTCCCAAGTTGAATGAAGGGTCGATAACCATTATTTGATTATTTTTTTCAGTTAACGCCTAAAGGGTCAGTGCTAAAGTTTCAGAAAGCCTGAGGGGAAGGGGGCAGCCCTCTTGGCTACCCAAGTTCCCAGTTCTTACGTCGCTGTGTCGATATGCCCTCTATCGCTCTGCGTTTCGTTAGATTGGTTTAATTCCCCCCCCCCCCCCCCACGTCCCATTTCTTGTCTGCACCGCTGTCCTGTAACGTTCTTATATTAACCGTGCATTTATTTCCTTTGTCGTTATCTTCAAAATGTAGCTGGCTGATGTTTGACGGGCTGAGGCTGTTGCTGTTAGCAGAAATTCCCTAAAGCCAAAATTTTACACATAGCTTATCATGCATAATGGCCTTGCTGTTTTTCAAACTTAAACAAATTGCAATGATCCATGTCAAGTTATTTTTCGTTTGGAAAATATCGAGATAAAATACATCTGAAGATTGTATCATTTTGATTTAGTACCAAAGACGTTTTTTCGACCATGGAGAAACGCCAAAGTAGAAACGCCCAAACCGTATCCTAAAATGTTCGTTTTCGGCACTGATCAGGCTGGCCCGAACACCCGGACTGGGACTGGAGTCGTCAAATTCCCATCTGGTTACGTTGACATATGATAACCGAACTCCATCACTCAACCTTGCACGTCACATTTTTTGGGCTAGAGCAAACAGCTTACGTTTTGGCCAGCGCATTTTGAATGACAAGGAACGTTCCAAAGCGTTGGGCCTTGAGGTGCAGTTCAAGTTCATTCTGCCTTGATATTCCACTTTCAGAAAAGTTGGTAATATGTATTTGCCTATTACGTTCTCTTTTCGCGACACTACAATTGTGTCGCATGCAGTTATGGCACAGTGTGCTATGCGTTGAGGCAAAGCAGCCCAAACTTAAAGCAAGCTGCATCTAAAAAAAGCACTGATCATTGATCATAACATTTTGCCTACGTCGTATGAGCTTAGGTAATGAGAATGCTTATTAGCCCTAGAAGGGTCAACCTACAGAAATCCCCTTTATCACATTTTCCTGCGCGTTAAACCAAGACCCTTTTTGAAGGGTCCAGTGGCTTTGACAAATTTGACTAAAGCTGATTTCAGTTTGCGAGGTAACAGAAAAAAACGTTCGGGACCAGCTCACAAAGCATATAGAGGCAACTGAATGACAATCAGGTATCGTCTTCGTCGTCAAAATTCATGCGGGATGTCACTCAAAGCTATAGACTGTCCACCTGCTGCTGATGATATGATTTAAGTACTACTGCGGCTGCTACGCTCTCCTAATGCTACATACAGACCAGCTTTTGTCACGTTTTCAAACTCCTTCGCCCTATCGTTTTTCTATTGTTTTCTCTCGAAAAGAAGTCGGTCGCCAGAATGAGTCGCGTTTGTAGTCAATGCAATCACCGCGCTCCCCACTTATGAGACGTTTGTTCGCTGATGACCCTCACCGAAGCCATCGGAGTACAGAAAGCCTACTTTCGCCTCAGAACCACGTTTTATCGCATTGCTAACCACCCCGTAAATTCCTACATCCAATAAGAGAGGCCGATATAATAAGGACATCTCTCTGAGCCAATTTCTGCACACGTGACCGCATCCAGAGTGAGCCAACAACCAGCGTGTTAGAATTCTCGTCCTCGAAGACTCACGAAGACTCCCTGTCCCGTGGAGGAATTCTTCTTTCCTCTTGCGATTTTTTCCGAGGCCGCACCGTCTCCGGCCTGATCCTACTCACTTGCCGTCTGGCGGCACCATTAGTTCCGCGCCCTCCCCAGGGGCGGGGTGGGGTCAACCGTAACTCCATGCCTCAGGCGAAACCCTACCGGTCGCCGGCGACACTGGGTCACTGGAGCGAGACGCACTCCCCCCCCCCCCCCGCCTGGCACGGGCGGAGATAGGGCGACTGTGGGGGAGGCGGCCCGGGGACGGCTCCAACAGGCCTTCCCAGAAGCATATTCGGGAGTTTGGCAAATTGCCTGACGTCTCTATAATTAGGAAAGAAATCCGTCCGCTTCTGGTTTCCATCCGGCATTCCGCTTTGTTCTTTCCTCATATGACCACCGGTGAACCCTTCTTTGAAATCAAGCGCGCCTGCTCAAGGCTTGCGCACGCGATGCCCGCAGACAATGCTTAATGTGGGGGGGGGGACCTCGTCCCTCCCCTCGGGACACTGGCTCCGCCTCTGCCGCCGACTATCTATAACGGCGGCATATTCCCCCGACAGCTCTCCGCGTCCGGCGCGGCCTTGACGCAGCGTCACGTGACCCCGCGCCCCGGGGCGTAAGTCGGCCGCCGCCGGCCCCCGGGCGGCCGCGGCAGAACGCCCGGAGGGGATATTAGGACCGCGGTCGGCCACGCGGCCGGTTATTGGTCTATCGCGAATGGCCAGGCGTGCCCGGCCACGCGTGATTCGGCGATGATCCGATGCGATCGCTGCCGGGCGGCGATGTGCTACTGCGCCGGGGACGGGAGTTTGTCTTCGGCGTGACGAGGCGGTCCGTTCCGCTGCTGTAGATGGTGTGGGAGTCGGTGAGCAAGACAATGGCGGCTGCGAAGTCGTTCAGTCAAAGGGAGCGTTCGACATTTGAAGACATTGAAGCGGACATCCGATGTAATGAAAAAGCTCACTTGTCTGGCAGTCTTGTAAGCTTGTAAGCAATAGCGAGTCAGACGGCGGCGAACAGGGTATTGCGCTTTACGCGCT